AGAACCCAATAGATTGCTGGGTTCCATTGAACCCACCTAGCGAAACCCAACAAACTGCTGGGTTTCGAACCTCGAGCAAATCAGCATATCATTGGGTTCTAAACCCTCAGCAAATCAGTAGATCATTGGGCTTGAGAACCCAATAGATTGTTGGGTTCCATTGAACCCACCTAGCGGAATGCAACAGATTGTTGGGTTTCGAATCCCCAGCAAATCAGCATATCATTGGGTTTGAGAACCGAGTAGTCTGCTAGGTGGGTTCGATGGAACAGAATGATCTGTTGGGTTCCAAACCCCTAGTAGGTCCACTAGGTTCACCTCAAAGGATGAAGAATTAATTGATGAGAAGGTTTAGATGGAGGAGATGAGGTAAGGAAATAGATGATGAGGAGATGAGAAAAGGAGATGATTAAACCCCAAGGTTGACAAATAAGGATCTAGGGGAAGAAGATGAATAGCGAAAGAGGTTGGGGATGAAAAGGAAGGGGTCACGAAAGGAGAAAGGAAAGAAAGTGATGTGTGGTTGAAGATGAGGGTAAAAACATAATTTTAGCTTTATAATTAGTTGTCAAGTATTATTTGTCACATTGTCAATCCTACATGTCAAAATACTTTTACATGTCATCTTTTCCTATCAAGTAACAGGACATGTAAGCGGATTTTTAATAGTAGGACCAAGTTGGGATTAAGATGGTAAATAGTGGGGACCAAAATCAAGGATTTTTTGAATTAAGGGACTAAATCAGGGGTCTGTACAATAGTTGAAGGACCAAAATGGGGGTTTAACCTAATTTTTATAATTTTTAAATTAGGTGTATTTACTACTCTTGGAAGCATGCATGCACTAATCTTTTTTTACCAGGTACCATTTGGGGGTAGGGGATGGAAAGAATAACATGGCATTACCGTGGCTCAAACTTTAATAATTATCAAAATATTAGGTGTACCTAACAATTAGTCTATAAAACCCTAATGCATTCATGCACTAATTTGAAAAATGTAAAAGAACTAGAGCTTGATTGTTTGTAATGATAGTTCATTTTATAATCACATACTCCCAAGATACAACAAAGCAGCAGACTTTATAAACATTTATAGCAACATAACTTATTTTATTATTCCATCAGTGTGTCTGCTGCTATATTGGCAGAGGCATCAACAACCCTTAACATTTAGGGGGTTTATATCCAGATGAAATATTGGCTTGCCCATTGAAACTGTTCCAACTTCCAGAAGCAGGGCCCATATTCCATCCTCCCGCACCAGGGCCTACATTCACAGGGCCGCCAGGGTTACTCGTCACAGTCCACATTCCACCACTGACGTGGTTGGATCCGGAACCCTGACCATAGTTTTGGCTTCCAGAACCAGTGCCATAATTACCAGCTCCACAGTTGTTGACACTGTTATTCGAAGCCTGGACGCCATTTCCGCAGCCACCGAAGGTCGACATTTTCTTTGCTCAGAAGAACTTAAAATCAAGTGGTTTGGGTATTTTGCTTTGTTGTCTTTGATGAATATCTGCTAACATCTCGGGTCCATATATAGACGAAGGAAGATCAATAATCCCATTAAAAATCATCTATGCAGTAGTGGAAACAAGCACCAGATTCTTCGACAATGATTTCAAGATAGGCATTACAAAAAAAAAAAAAAAAAGTTGCTTCAAGATAGACCGTGATCTCTTGTCAATAATGTGATGGAATCGTGGAATAAATTGTTAATAAGAATCAATCTATTGTCGCTGTTATAAAAAGAAAAAAAAGGAATCAATCTCTTGTTGATAAAAGGAAATATTTTTAAAAATTCTCATGATCAAGATGCTCATTCATTTTGGATCGAATGTTTTTGGGGAGAGGTGTCTTTGTCATTGGAGCAGCTGCAAAAAAAAAAAATACAAATCTCGATGCAATACCGCAGCGTTGGAAATTAAGTGTTGCAAAAGACAATTTTTTGTAGCACAGCCGATGGTTAAAGTTGCTTTTGAAGGAAATTAACAATCTTATCTTTTCTAGTGCTGCGCCATCTGTATGCGAAGAACATAGCATCATTAGTTGGTGTGTCCACTGACCGAGCAAGAGTGGCTGTTTCCGAAAATTGACTCTTATAGCTAATGCTTTAAGGAGAATAAACACAATTTCAAGCTAGGAGCTATCCCTAGAAAAATTGATGAAGGTGAGTTAGAATAGGATTGGGATTGCTATCTCACAACACGTCTCTTCGAGGATCTGCCAAGCATAGTCATGAGTGCATCAGTTTTAGAGATCTCTTCAATGCGTATATAGTTTTTTGCATCCACCCATCCCGTTGTAACAAAAAAAAGGGGTGCATGTTTCCTAATCTATGGTGCAAATAATTTTGAACCCACCTTTTCTCATCGGATATACTAGGATGGTTAAGTAGAAGCTGTTAGCGGCTGTTTGGCATAGCATTTTTTAGGAGTTGTCTACAGGGAATTTTTTCTCTTTTATATGTTTGATTTAAAGAAAAATATATTGTTCTATTGAGATAAAAAAGAAATTGAAGACAAGGAATTTTTCTTTCTTTTACTTTAATTTCTTTTACAATTTAATCTAGTTAAACGAGAAAAGATGAGAGAAATGGAAGGACATTTCTTTTCTTCCATTTCTTTCAAACCATAAAAAGATGTACAACGGTGTTTTATCTTCTTGTTGTTTTCTCTCAAAATGGTATAGAGACAAAGGTTTATCCTACTGATGAAGAGTTCTAAAATGACAATTTTAATATTATAACATTTAAAAAATATATATATATAAAGTGTAGCAGCGAGCAGACTTCGTGTTAGACGCTGCAGCCCACACTTAATCCAACAACAAAGATGCAACGCTTTTTTGTTTATTTGAATATAAAAGATCTGGTTAAATAAAACAATATTTATATAATTTTTAAGGGAATTTTATGCATTGGAGGAGAAGTGTTCTATGATGTGTTTTATTTGAGAGTTAAGAGGAGGATATATATATATATATAAGTTTTATGCATTATATTTATACAAAATTTTAATCACTTAGCTTTTTACTTTCAGTAATTAGGATTTATTCACATTTATTAAAAATAATTATTTTTTTACCTAAAAATTATGACAAATCTCAATAATGGCTAAATTTAATAAATAGTTTATTAACTATATAATTTATTTCAGTTTAATCTAAAAATAATATTTTCTTTCAGAATAATTTATAAACTATCGATTTTATTTCAAAATGGTCTACTTTGACAAACATTCCTTTAACTAGATTAACGGAGGGGTGTTAGTGTAGACAAGCTGCCCCTTAAGCTTTTGAAAAATATTAAATATGATACATATATTTTTATTTTTTATGACATTTTGTTTTTAACATTCAAATTTTTTGTCAAATGTAATAATTAACTAAGATAAAATTTCAATTTACATTAATTAAGATAAAATTTTAATTTACATTAATTAAGATTCTAATTTTAATTTACAATAATCAATATTATAATT